GAGTAAAAGTCAGAACCTGAACAGATAGCGGCAGGTTTATGTGGCCACTCTGAGGGGATAAAACAAGTCAAGCCCATTAATGTGAACGATTTAAGAACACAGTTTCTACAGGAAGCCCAGCTTTGCTCGTGCTGTGATCCGTTTCAGATCTCTCTCATCGTTAGTAGATGAAGTCCCATGACAGCCACTCCTTCACCTCCCGAAATCTGAAACAAATTAAATGTGCATATTTAATACGACAGGAAGACATCCACTTGTTAAATGAGAGCGTGAGCGATGAGGAAATCAGAGCGAGGGCTTCAAGGCCTGCAGAGTCTGAAGGAATAAAGAGAATTCATTTTTATTTCAGCACGGCTCCATGGGAGTAACCCTGGCAYGACTCCCCTCCCAAACTCTGCAGGGCTGATCGTACGCTATCTGCTGTGTTTCCATAGAAACCTCAAAAAGCAGGCTTTATTGTAGACTGGTTTGGCATGTGCCTTTGCCACCACTTGAACCATCAAACGGCATTTTGGAACAGGCCGAGCGCTGCCAAGTGGCTTCTTCTGCTCAAAGCTGTTCTTTGTCCGACTCAAGTCTGAACTTCAGATTTAACCAATGCAAACCTTGAATATTTTTATTTAATGCGTTGCTTTATAGAGTTACAAAAAGATCTCTCTTTCTGAGTAACAAATCACTCAAATCTGAAGAAGGAATTGTTTCACAGCAACAACTTCCAGTGGATTTTGTTCGTGTAATCTTTGTGTTTTGGTGTCAAAGTTGCACTTACACAGAGCAATACTAATGGATTTATCTTCTGAGAAACTGTAAAGGGAGACGYCAGAAAAATGAGTCCAAAAAGAAAACCAACAAACCTCCTGCTGAGAAGAAAGTTTCTGGGATGCTGCTGATTTGCCTGACAGTTTTTTGGCAGAGAGTTAACCAYAAAACATACAGAATAACCCCTCAGTCACATGTGTACATTAGGATTTTGTGCAAGTAAAATACTGTGTTTTTAAGCATTTGGTTGATGTACTCTGAACATGGCTGGGTGTTGCCTTGCCTCYAAACGTCTGCAAAGTTCACCTCTGAAGCTTTGGAAAAATACATTTATTAATAAATAAACTATGAAATGATTGCCCTGCAGTATGTCTTGCGTTTGGACACCCAAGGTTGTCCAGATTTTTTTTTTTCAAGAGCTGTTTAATCAGGCAAAGCCAGCAAACTGAGACAATCAATGCAAACATTTTGGAAAGAAAATCACACATCAGGTCATAAACTGARGGACCAACCTGACTTTAGGCCCTGAACAATGAGGAGGTCTGGTTCTCCTGTGAGGCTGCCGACACGGTTCTGACCCTCTTGTTACCACAAAGACACGAGTCACTATAAATTAGCTCAGGCTGCATCAGCCTTAATAAAATATTTCTMTCCTGATGGGAACAATTTGTTCAAGGTTCAAAGGTTAAGGTATCTTGATTATCTTGTGTGTAAATAGATTTATAGCCACCAGGGAAACAGCTAGCATCCATACGGTTATTTACACTGAAAACTGCTGGAATGTGGGATTTTCTGAGCCGGGTGGTTCTGTAGTTTTGGCAGTTTGGATCTGCACCAACAGAAACCTGAAAGGAGGGTTTKGGTCAATCAATAGATCTGTTTTCTGTTGACTGTAAGACCTCAGTGCACCCCACAGGCTGGTTTTCTGCAGATATCCAACAAAATTATATAAACAAGTTTTATTTACCCAGATGTCTTGGCTCACACTGTTATTTTCCTGTTTATGATTTCTTCTGTTTGTTGCAGTCAAACTACGTCTGCATATTTTATACTATTTTAAATGTTCATATATTCAGGTGAACTATGGCTTTAGGCTTTATGCAACTTTCATACTTCTCAAAATAACTATTTGAAATTTAAAAAAATCAAAGCTTTACATTGAGCTTTCTCAAATTCCTTCAAAAACATTTTCTCTTTAATTCTTCTCATGGTGCTTTTAGCTTGTAGCTTTTAGGTTTTGGCTACTGTTTTGGTAATTCTAATTTTAGTAACCCTTTGACTATTTTTAATTATCAATATGCTACTTTAGGCTCTTGGCTACTTAGACCTGTCAGCTAATATTTTGATACCTTTTTAGTTACTATTTTTGCTGCTTTAAGATTTTGGCTACTGTTTTGCTACCTTTTTTTTAGCTTGCAGCTTTTTGTAAATATTGGCTAGTACTGTTTTGGTACTTTTAGTTGTAGTCACCCTTCAGCTAATTTATCTTTAAGTTATTTTACTTCTTTAAGCTTTGGTCTACTTTTAACCTTTCAGCTCCCATTTTGCAACTTTTATCTTTTTGTTACCATTTTAATATCTTTGTTACCATTTTCCTACTTTAAAATTTCAGCTACTGTTTTGCCACTGTTGCTTTTA